AAGATGTATCATGGGGGTGTTGCAACCTAGAAGACACAAATTTGACTAACAGTACTTCAAATCTTCACTTTCTAGAAGCAAGGTTGTATCTTCGGCATAATGAGTCTTCCACCAATCCTGATGCCATGTTCTTCGTGTAGTATAGCTTCTGAAATAAATTAAGTAGGTATGAATAAAAGATACAACCCTAACACACAGTTTTCCTGACTTTAAACCATGAAGTGATCCCTTGTTCGGTCTGTACAAGAGCTTCCTCGACTAGGTACATGTTTTGCATGAGCACATTTAAGTATTGTGAGATTCTCATTCCTTCTCAATGTTAGCCATAATTTGTTACGATAAATGCCTTTCCATAGTTAATAAAATACAAGTAAATATCTTTCTGGTGTTCTCTACTTTGAGCCAAGATTTATCTGACATCAACAGGGATATTCCTCATGTCATGGTCTCTTTTGAATCCTGGCAGTTCCTTGTCAATGTTCAGTGGCTTATGAGTAATCCTTAGTAAGGTTTTATTTGTTTGTGATGATAATGATGATGCTTGATCATTTCTGCATTCTCTTGGATCACTTACTTTAGGAATGGTAACATATGGATCTGTTGGCCAAGTTTTCCAGATTTTTTTGCATAAGCTAGGGAGCACTTCTGAGCTGTGTTTTTATTGAAGCACCACAATTGTGTCATTGTTGGTGCCAGTGAGATGAGTACAGTTCATAGCAATCTTATGAAAAGATTTGAACTCTGTCCTCTCCTATGCAATCATCATTTTGACACACGTGAGCCCATTGCTGAGGGTCGTCTTCTCTTTAGCAGACTCTTCATCTACCAAACACAATGTCCCTTTCCAAGATACAGCCTCTCCCCTAGCAGTATGCTCAAAGGATGTGAGGCAGAGTTTTGCCATCCCTGCCTCTAGGGGGTCTTCTGGCTGCACTTTTTACAAGACATACCTATTTGTTCTTTTGACAGTCCCTGGGATATTCAGTACTACATTAATTATTCCATCAATTCCTGGAGACTTACTTTTTGCCAGTGCCTTCAGTGTAGCTTGAAATATTTCCTTCAGTACCATTTGTTCTTGATCATATGCTGCTTCCTGATACTGACCGGTTATTTTTGTTCCAGTGACTATTCCTTTCACATTCTTCTGAGGCTTCCTGCATCATTCAAAATTTGGCACACAGAATCCTTCAGTATGACAGCTTAGGATTTGAATATGTTCTTCAGTTCTTTCAGCATGAGAAACAATGAGTGTGTGCTTCCCATTTTGTTTCATAAACTTAATAAGTAAGTGTTGTTTGGTTATTTTTGCTAAGAATCTCAAATGGACAGCATCTGTACCTGGTTTTCTGCATTTCAGCCTGGTTTAAAATGACAGCACCACATCAGTATGACAGCATCATAAAAGTCTGCACTGCTTAGATTTGTTTCTTTTATCTTCCACAGAAATACTTTTAGAGAAGTATCCTGACTTTATGATTCATAGCAGAGATCACCATTTAAAATGTCTTAGTTTCAAACTCATCATAATTTGAGACTTGTATTTACTCTCTGTTCTTTAAAGACTCGGTCAAAAAAATATAGCTGAGAATAAAGGTTTACGAAAAAGTCCTCCCCATCTCTCTATTTGTTGTTTGGTTCTTGATAAGTTTTCCAAATCTGATAAGTTTGTTTCAAGTATCCCATGGACTGCTAAATTCTTAGAGTGAGTCTCCAAAGAGATATATCTTGGAGGAAGTATAGCCAGAGTATTCCTTGGAGGCAAAATGATAAAACTTTGTCTCATGCTTCGGTCATATTGCTAGAAAAGGTTATTCCTTGGACATCATGCTTCGGAAGATAGAAGACCAGATAGATTGACACAGCAGCAATGGGCTTGAGTGTGCCAGAGATTGTGAGGATGACACAGAATAGGGCAGGGTTCAGATCGGTTGTTCATAGGCTCTCTGTGAGTCACACATGACGGCAACTACACAATAATGAAACAAAGTGAGACTATGTACCTGCTTTGTTCATTAACAAGTTTAATTGTGTGTATTTCTACATAGTGGACGTAATCTGGAATGGGAAGAAAACATTGCCTTATTTTAATTTTGTTTTAGTGAGAGGAAGGTCTTCTGGCTTGCACTGCTAATCCAAAGGCTGTATCTATCTAGTGGTTCATATCCACCTGCAGCTCCAAGGCAGAATGATGGGCAGTTTCCTCCCTGGGTTTACAGCCTTGGAAATGGGTTAGAGGGTCACCTGTGAATCAATTTCAACTCAACGTTGATGACTATTTTAAATGAAAGTTAACTATTTGGCACTTTGGCCTCTTTTGCCTGTATCAAAAAGATGTGTTGCTGATCATAATAGTTCTAGTTATGAAATTCTTTTTGACAAATATTGTTTCTGTCCATTTTTGTCTATAAATCTCAACAGTTCATAAAAAATTTATTTTCTTGAGGTTTTCATTATAAACCGATGTTCCATGTGTAGATATTCACCCTTATACAACAGACCAGGCAAATTCTCATGCTGTTGTGTTTATAGATGAGGGTTTTGAAAGTCCAGCGATTGTCTTTTCTATTGCAAGGTAGGAAATACAAAGGTTATCACATAGACTATTAGTGAAATGCTGTTATTTGGAATATTCCACACTTAGAGACCACAGAATTGCCAGATAAAATAAAGAATTGTATCTGGCAGTAGATTTATTGTTTTTTTGTTTGTTTTTGGTGTTGGGTTTTGTTTTGTTTTGTTTTGTTTTTTTAAATCTGCTTCCCCCCCCATTTATTATTAATTGCAGTAAAAATTTACAAAGACTTTGGATTTCCATTCATTCATTGTTGCACTTTTCTCCCCTTCCAACCCTCTCCACTAGTACACTACCCTCTTGTAAAAGTAAAACAAAAATTCTTTCATTGTTTTACAAACCCTCCCCCAGGTCCACTCCATCATGCAGCCTTCACTCTAGACACCTGTCACGACAAAAAACCCCTAATCATATATCCCTTTTAAACAGTTTTCTCCCTCATCTGTTTCAATGCAGTATACATTATTGAACCCATCTTTCTCATTCTCCCCCAACCCTGATGTCAGTCCTGTTTTAAAACAGTGGTACTATACAGTATTTGTCCCTTTGTGACTGAGATATTTCACTTAGCATAATATCCTCCGGGGTCACACATTTTGAATAATATTGCATGAGTTCCTTGTCTTTCAGTGCAGCATAGTATTGTGTCTCAGCTTCTCTATCCATTCATTTGTTGATGGGCTCTTGAGTTGTTTCCAACTCCTTGCTATTGTGAACAAAGCTGCGATAAACATGGGTGTGCATCTATCTGCTTGGATGTCAGTTATGGTCTCTTTTGGGTATATTCCTAATAGTGGAATTGCTGGGTCAAATGGTATTTCTATTTGCAACTTTTTGAGAAAGCGCCATACCACCTTCCACAGTGGTTGCACCCTGGCAGTATATTTCTAAAGTGCATTTATGAGACAAATTTTGGGCTATAGACAACAGTTAATTTCTTTTTAATTGATATAATGCTGCTTGATTGTGCACATTTCCCACTGGTTATCTGCAAGAATACTCATTTTCTTTCTTCAGGGTTGTATTGATTTGCTAGAATTCCTGAGAAGCATTTTACTTTTAGCAATTAGAGGACAACTCTTACAGCAAGGCTTGTGTAATGGCAGTGTAAATGGTGGACTTGAGTTTGGTTGTAAACCAAAGTTTGATGTAATATATTTGCAATTCTGAGTGTTCAAATATAAGACAGTTCCCTATTTTCCCCATGAAAGTACTATCCTACTGCCACTTCTGACAGAACTCTCCTTACTGGAATGTACAGAATTCTAGAAAGAATTACTTTTTGCTGAGAAATAGGAATTTCTCAGAATCAAATTACTTAGCTGTTTCTTTAACAGTTATGAATTTGAAGGTGAGAGCATAGTGTTTGACCGATGTATATTTTTTTATGTTAAGTAAAATTTTTAATACAAATTATCACTTTCACCACTTGAACACTTAACGAGATCCTGACACATTAAAATCTACATATATTGTATCTATTTTGTAAACAAGTGCATTAAAGAAAAATTTAGGCATGAAGTTCTGTGTGTTACTTAACTTTCTAATATGACAATTTTGTTGGAACTCAATGTAATTGAGATATTGTATAAAGTGTTTCGAAAACAGTTCTCAGGAGACAGCTGTTAAGAACGTAAGTGACTTTGTGAAGCAACTGTTTTCTTAAATTCTGTTTGGGAACGAAAATTTTTAATCTGTTTTCTAGACATATGATAAATCCTCCTAGAATCTTTCATTTTTATTGATGATTTAGAAGTATATCACAATTTGAAGAAGTCAGTGTCTTGAGAAACCTTATTTTGGTTTTAAGGTTTTAGTTATTAATGTGGATTTTGTCGGTTTGTTTTGTTTTTTTAAAATTTTTATTTCTTTGAGGGGTTGGACATAATTGCCTTATTTCATTACAGGGATCCTTCTAAAGTTAATATTCTGGTACCTGGTGCTGGACTAGGAAGACTGGCCTGGGAAATAGCTATGCTAGGTTATGCTTGTCAAGGAAATGAATGGAGTTTTTTTATGCTCTTTTCTTCCAACTTTGTACTCAACAGGTATTTCATTTACTTTTTGCTGGACATAGTAATTTCTCAGAATCAAATTAACTTACCTATTTTTGAACATTTCTGAACTTGAAGATAAGAACATAGTACTTGGTTATGATGTATATCATGCTTCTTATGTTAAAGTAAAATTGTTTAATTACAAATTATCATTTTCATCATTTGAATAGGTAACACAATCTTGAAACATGATGGGTTAGTGACCTCTTAGAAAGTGGACAGCCTTTGAAGACAGAATTTTCTGTACAGAATTAACAAGACTAATTCAGGGATGAACACTTTCTCATTGTAATTTAAACTTTTTCAGCCCTTCGTCTCATTAGTGAAAGATCAGTTCATTATCTTTTTTTTTTTTAAACCATCGTTGTTAAATGACCAGGTTTCCATGTGACAGAGGTGAGAAGGCCCCTAGGAATTTCTGTAGCCTCTTTTGAAGGTAGCAGGAAAGGTGGCATTTTTAGAGACACAGAGGTGTATTAAGAGAAAAAAAGTAAATAGCTGTCCTTTTAAAGCTAAATAAATAACACATTTATATCTGAGTATCTTTTTAAGATTTTTTTCCTTCATTTCATTCTTCCCCCCCTTTATTTTTTGATTGTGTGCTTATCTACATATGTATGTATATTTTCAATTAATTGGGTAGAGAGGAATGATAACACTTTAAATAGTACCTAGTTAAACTTACAGTCAGAGGAACGCAGTAGAAACTTTTGTTAACACTGAGTTTTATTCATATTTTACAGGTGTTCTGAAATTAATAAATATAAGCTTTATCCTTGGATCCATCAGTTTAGCAATAACCGGAGATCAGCTGATCAGATTCGACCAATTTTCTTCCCTGATGTTGACCCCCACAGTCTTCCTCCTGGTTCTAACTTTTCTATGACAGCAGGAGATTTTCAGGAAATATATTCAGAATGCAGTAAGTCCTAAGCAAAAGTTTTTAAGGGTCTTTTCCTTTATTTTCAACTTAATGAGTTAATTTTAAGTCAAACCAATATTATAATATTTTAATATTAGAATAGAAAGTATGTTTTATTGACCCTTCAGAATGTCTTCAAGGCATTAATAGGATCTGTAAAGACATAGAAACTACCTGTAATCAAGAATTTTAGGATCTGTTGAATCTCTTAATGTAAAATAGCATATGACAAAGTTCAAATGAGTAAGCAATGTTAGAAAGCTGAAAGTAGTTTAGAATGGAACGAGAACTTTTCCTAGAGAGTCTCTGACTTAAAGGATAGAGAGAATGGTGTTTGAGGCAGGCAGAGCTACAAAGATTTGAGGAGGCAAGAACAGCCTGGCTGGAAGGGAAAAGCTTTGTTAGGAGTTTGAATGAGAGATTTGCCTAAAAAAAGGAGCTCTTGGTTGGCACTTGGCTATGCGGCCCAGTTTGTTGAGAGTTGCTCTGCTAACCTAAACGTGGTTGGAATCCTCTAGTAGCTCTGAGAGGAAAATGAGCAATTTACAGAAACCCACTAAAGTGCACTCGCTGCTTCTGTGAAACTACAGCCATTAAGAACTCGGTGGCCTGGAGTTCTGTTTTGATGACCTGGGACTGTCATGAGTTGGAACCAAGTCAAAAGCAACAGGTTATGTCTAGAAAAGTGAGTTTGTTCCAGGTTATGAAAGACCTTTAAATCATCCTATCAAGTTTGGTCTTCAGGCTAACAAACTTAAAGACAGTAATGCAGAAAGGAAGGGAAATTGATAAAGGAAGAAAAAAATGTGTTACATTCTCAGGGGTTAGCAAGATAACTCATCCAACAAATATTTGTTAAGTATCTCTTGAATACTTGGTGTGTCCGAGGCATTGGAAACAGAGAGTAAGAAACTATCTGTCTACTACAAATTTATATTCTAGTAGAGAACACATTATTAAGAATTTATCAAGAGACAAAATCTGTTTGTAACTGCTCCATTGTGTCCAGCTGTTTGCTTTTTCACTTTTGATATTCATTTCTCCTTATGAAGCAGGTGTATTCATTTTGAAACCTGTCAGAATTGGTAGTTGTATTTTAAATCACAGTTTGAAATCCAAGTGATTGTTTCATTTTAACTAATTTTAAGTGAAGATAAGAAGTTGAATAAGTTAGAATCAAAACTCTGACATATATATATACCATTTGGTGATGAAAGCTAGTAATAGATAATATAAAAATGATTTGCATATTAATTAGATTATTATGAAAACCATTAAGACTTACAGAGTACCCCTCACATATGAATAATTTCTTACCTTGATTATAATAGTTATATGAAAGATTTTATTTTTATATTTCTGCAGTTGAATAAAGCATTAATACTATGTTAGAGGTAGTAGAAGATAAAAGAATTGAATTTCATAACAAATAATATCAGTTACTTAATTTTTCTTGAATAGACACCTGGGACTGTATTGCTACTTGTTTCTTCATTGATACAGCTCACAATGTAATTGATTATATTGATACTATATGGAAAATACTCAAGCCAGGTGGAATTTGGATAAATCTAGGTAAGTTCTTCAGGATTTACAGATCTTTTTTCGAATATTCCACATACTTACCTGAGTACTTACTTATAGCTCTTCCACATTTGATAATGTCACAATATCCATTGTTCATGAAATTTGCACTGTGCATTGTTTAAAAATTGTTTATCCTGGGGGTGATGCATGCGAAGTATTGGAAACCTATAAAATGCCTTTAGAAGAGAAAGCAAAAACCAGTTGTTAATGAAGCGATTCTGGCTGCTGGTACCCTGTATGTTTCTAGTTTGACTGTGTTCTGTAGTGTTTTCATGGCTGGGACTTTTGAGAAGCAAATCACCCAATGATGAGTTTGGAGCTACCAACCTTTTTGTTAACAGCTGCACCCAGGGACTCCTTATATTAATCTGTACATAATCATTCTTGTGTTTTTACCATTGTTAAAGATTATTGTTTAAGATGAGACTACTCCTTTTCTTTTTTTCATGAAACGTTTATGGAAATAATACCTTTTGCCATCAATCTCTCCTCCCCAGCACACAATGCATATTTGAAAAACGTAGAAATGATAATTTCTGTATGAAAGAATAGAAATGTGGTTTAAATTTATATTTTTTATAAACTTCTTTACTAAGTCCTTTTGATAGGTACTATGTGAGTGTGACATGGTCCTGCCCATCTTAGGTAAGGAAAATTGCCAGTATTCTTCTCTTTAAAATGAATTAATGATAAGACCATCAAAATACTTGCCTTTTTCTAGAGAGAGAACACAGTGCATATTATGAAAGACGGTGAGGCTGACATGTATAACTTTTTCAAGATAATAGTTTTGTTTTATTGTGGTGGTTGTTGATGTGTATTACCGAGTTATCTATGCTCATAGCAATCCTTTGAACGACAGATTTCAAACTTGCCTATCCTGCACCATCCTCACAGACTTAAGCATGCTCAGGCTCATTGTTTCAGTCCTGTTTCCATGTATCTTGTTGAAGGTTTTCTTTTCTTTCTCTCTGACCCGCTACATTTCCCATCATGATGTCCTTCACTGAGGACTGGCCCCTTTTCTAACATGCCCAGAGTACATGAGATGAGGTTTCACTAGATGAAATTTCTTTGCCTCTAAAGAGCACCCTGGATGCACTTCCTCTGAGATAGACTTGTTATTTTGGTAGTCTGTAGTATATTCAGTACCCTTTTCCAACTCCACAACCCAAAGTATCAATTCTTCTTTGGTCTTTCTTATTCATTGTCCAATTTTCTAATGCATAGAAAACAATTCCACATACTGTGGCTTGAATCAGGCACACTTTAGTCCTTGCTCTTTGGGAATTTTTTGAGAGGTCCTTGAAAGCACATTTTCCCAGTTCTGCATATCTTTTGATTTCTTGACTGTTATTCCCATGTGGATCCAAGTAAAATGAATCATTGACAATGTTTCCTATCATGATGTTGCCTGTTGTTCCAGTGGTAAGGATTTTTATTTTCCTAATGTTGAGATGTAATCTGTATTGAAGGCTATAATTGTTGATCTTTAGTAAGTACTTTTAATCTTCACTTTCTACAAGCAAGGTTGTGTTATCTGCATAATGCAGGTTGTTGATGAGTCTTCTTCCAATCCTATGCTACATTCTTCTTCATACATTCTTACTTTTTTATTTAACTTTTTATTTTATATTGGTTTATGTACAAAGTTCATGTACCTTGTGTTTCACAAAGTTCATTCACATTGTGTTTCATAAAAATTAATCGCCGTTGAACGATGCCCACCATTACTTGGTCTTTTCAAATCTCTGCTGGATCTTTCCCATTTCCTTTACTCCCTTCCCTCCACCCAGAAAATTGTGTGACCTTATGATTTGCTCCCGTCCATCCTCACCTGCCTGCTTCCATCCCTTGTTCCCTTGGACCCCCATGCACATCTTACTGTTTGGTCTCTTCTATTTTAACAATAGTGGCCTTTGGCAGTCTTTTTCCTTATGATACTGAGTTAGTTCACATAGCATAATGCTCTCCAGTCTCTCTCAGCTTAACATAGTATTTTTCAAAATCATTGCTCCTGAGTGCTGCACAGTATTTCATTGTATGACTGTCCCATAATTTCTCAGTCCATTCAATGGTTGGACATTTGGGCTGTTCCATTTTCTTGATATTTTGAATTAATGATGCTGTGAACATTGGTGTACATTGTGTCTCAGTTCTATTCTCCTTGGCGTATATTCCTAGAAGTGGAGTAGCTAGCTGGTTCATATAGAATTTCTATATTCAGCTTTTAGAGAAAGTGCCAAAACTACCTTCCAAAGTGGTTGTACCATTTTATAATCCTACAAGCAGTGTATGAGAGTTCCTATCTCTCCAGATCCTCTCCAACATTTATTGCTTTCTATCATATTAAACTTTGTTGCTATTACAATTGGGTTAAGAGTCTCAGTGTAGTTTTGATTTTATCTCTCTTACTACCAGTGATTTTGAGCATTTCTTCATGTGTCTGTTGGCCTTTAGAAAAGCCTTTCCATGCCTTTTGCCCATTTTGTAATTGGGTTATCATTCTTTTTCTATGAGACCCTTGTCAGAGATGGTATTGCCAGATGTTTTTCCCCCTAGTCAGTAGGTTTTCATTTCACCCTATTGGAAAGTTTTTGATACACATAGAGATTTAATTGTTAGGAGGCCCCATTCCTTAATTTTACCCTCTCCAGATTGTGCATTTCTGGCTGTATTTGTCAGCCTCTTTTATACCATAGCCTACCTTCTAAGCTTAGTCCCATTTTGTCTCTTGTGAACTTTGTGGTTTTATAGGCTTTACTCCCAGATCTCTGATCCACCTTGAGCTGATTTTTTGTATGGTGTAAGATGTCGATCCTGTTTCAGCTTTCTGCAGGAAACAGTCCAGTTTTGCCAGCACTTGTTGGAGGTTGTAATTTCTCTATTCGATAGGTTTTATTTCCTTGTTGAATACCAGCTGACTGTAGTGGGCGGGTGGATTAATTTCTGGGTTCTTGATTCTGTTCCATTGATCTGTGTTTCTCTCATTTTGTACCAATACCATGCTGTTTTGGCTATTATGCCTCCTACTTCATTTTTGTTTTTCAGATGTGCTTTGCTTGTTTGGTCTTTATTGTTTCTCACAGATAGGTTTTAGAATTTTCTTTGTAAAAGAAAATATCTTTGTAAGGTCTTTAGTGCCTCTAGTAAGGCTTATTCCTAAGGATCTCAATTTGTGATTGGTTATTGTAAATAGACTATGGCTTGTCTATAGTCTTTCTGATTACTAGCTATGCATCCGAGACCTGGACAGTGAATAAGGATAACAGAAAAAAAATGGACATCATTGAGCTGTTGGAGAAGAGCACTGAACATCTCATGGATGGTTAAGAGAATGAACAGCTATGTCTTGGATGGTGCAGCCAGAGTGCTTTTTGGAGGCAAAAATGATGAGACTTTGCCTCACATACATTGTGTTGGGAAGGGTGGAGGGTCAGCAAAGGAGAGGAAGATAGGACCTCAACTAGATAGACTGACATGGTGACTGCTTCGGTGGGCTCTTGTGTGTAAAGAAGTGTGAAGATGGAGCAGGACAGGACTGGGTTCAGATCTTTTGTTCATAGAGTCGTTATAAGTCGTACTTGACTGACAGCACCTAACAACAACATTGTACTGTTGCTTTCTTTTTTAAATTTTTTTATTTTTCTACTGGTTTATTTACAAAATTCAAATACAAATTTGAACAAATTTTTCCCTTTCCTTCATTCCCCCCACCCATCAAATTATATAACCCAGTGATAAATCCCCACTTCCCCCTGCACATCCACATCCCTCTGCTTCCAGCCTCTCCCACCCCTTCTGGATCTTATACACATTCTACAGTAACAGTTATATACAATATCCATAAGGGACTGAGTTTACTCAGCATAATGCTCTCCAGTCTCTCCCAAGTTAGGTAATAATTTATAGAGGTACTGCTCCTGCATGCTGCATAGTATTCTATTGTGTGGATGTACCATAGTTTCGGAATGCATTCGTTTATGGTTGGACATTTGAGCTGTTCACATGTTCTTGCAATGGTGAGTAATGCTGCTATCAACATTGGTGTACAAATCTGTTCTCATATTCTCAGAGTATATTCCAAGTAGTGGAATAGGACTGGATTCAGATCTTTTGTTCATAGAGTAGCATGAGTCGTACTCAACTGACAGTACTTAACAACAACAGCATTGTAAATATTATTGCTTTCTTGATTTACATCTCTGTATTTTCTTTGTGACTGAAGAGGAACCCCATTGTCTTTTTATATTGATCTTGATTATATTGGTTTTGTACTCTGTCACTATACTAAATTGGCCTACTATTTCAAAATTTTTTTGTGGAGTTTTGGGGTTTTCTGTGTACACTTGCATACTATCTACATATGTTGTTGTCATTAAATGCGATTGAGTTGATCATAACTCATAACAACCCTATAAACTAAAGACCTTAACCCTGTTGTATAACTATTGTCATTTCTCCAAGTTCTCCCAATTTCCAGAGGCATGTTATTTAGAAGTCAGTGCCACTCCTGCTTCCAAGTCTGTCTTAATCTGGGAGCTCCACCAAACACTGTTAACCATGTGTAACCATAATAGCATTTGAGACACCAGTGGCACACCATTCAGTATCACAGCAATCCAGAATTTCCTCAGTACAGCAAAGTAACAGAACAATACTGTACCACTTAGGAGAATATTCATTATAAACAAATAATACCGGGCCCCAGGGCTCAAATGGATTTTAAGAAACCCAGGCCAGTGCACCAGGCCTTGATTGGCTCCAACAAGAGGCTCCCGACACACAGTTCAGAACCATCCATTCAAGCTGCTCACAAACAGCTGTGTGAGCAAAATAAAACCTACCACAGCCAACCTTCAGCCAAATCGAGGAGAACTCACCTGCATATAGTGACAATTTAACCACTTCTCTGCTGATCTAGATTCTATTTCCTTCTCTTGCCATATTACCTTACCAAGTACTTTCAATACAAATATTGGACACTA